CTCTGATGTGAAGGGGCTCTTAATATATAAATAGGTGGACTCTGATGTGAAGGCGGGAACCCCATGTCTTTTTTTTTTGCATGGATTCTCCCTTAAAATACATTCCCATCTAGTAGAAGGGTCTGGAATGGATTTTATAATTTGTTTACATTTTAAACTGAGGTGCCTGGAGATTTTGGATTTTTTAAATGGGTGCCATGACTGAAAAAAGTTTGAGAAACGTTTTACTATAACATACTAAAGTAGCCATTTTGAAAAATACTGTGTCTCAGTAAAATGCGACTCCCCTAAGATGAGCTGGCCAGGAACTCCAATAATCTCGCATGCTCATCACTGTAGGTAAACAATTTGGAAACGCAGCACAGACAGAACATGTTCGCTATTGCAGACTCTAGCCAGTGGTCTTTTTAAAGCACTATATCCTATCAAAATGCAGTGCTTCCTTCAGAACAAGTTGTACAGATTCTGGCCATGCGTGGGTGCACTTTATAAATAGAGCATACAGTCTGTGGCCAGCACCTACTTAGTAGCCTGAGAAGGAAGTGGTGTGTGAGAGAGGTGAGTGGGTGTTAAAAAGATAAATAAAAGGCTTTCTGCTACTAAAAAAAGGGTAACGAGCAGGGTGTTAGTAGCTGCACATAATATTTTCCCTCCTGCTTTAACACTAAAAATCCTACCTACACCTAATGGGAAAGCCAAACCATAACTTAGTGGTTCATTGTATGTACCCATGACAACCCAATAAATGTAAAAAGTTGTCGCAGCCAAGAGGATGCAGCAAACTGAAGAATTTTTGCACAGGGGGCAAGAAATGTGATTAAATATAACAGACGATTAGGACCAAATATGTGGAGTGTAGGAAATGTTATGAAGGTTAATATGCATTATATGCATTGTGCTTTTTATTTGTCAAATTTTCATTAAAGTTACTTGTGTGCCATTGCATGAAACTGTACAATTGCTTTTTTTTGTTTAAGGTTTTCCTAATAGGCCGAAGTCTCTTAAGGTAATCATTAACCCGCACAGTCATAAAGGAGAAGCGACCAATGCGTATTATCGGCACGTTGAACCTCTTTTCAAGCTTGCTGACATTCAGACCGATGTTACAGGTAAGTTTGTTTCAGTAAATAAATCAACTGAATAGAGACAGAAAACATTGCTAAGCAACCAAGACAAGCTGAACTTTCAGTTAATCCCCACTGGCTTTCAGCTGCAGCTTAAAATACAGTAAATCAGGTTACATAGCCAATATGTCTACATCGTTAGATCTAATGTTTGTTTTATTCAAAGCCATCTTTATATCAAAATCAAATTGCAAGCTCTGAGAAAACAATAGTTGTTTTTCCTAAATTACAATATGTTTGCAAATGCTTATCCATAAATCTCAGGTTTTTATTCATCAGAGCACTTATTTCCACTAGAAGTGTATTCTTGTTGAAACCTATTATGCCGTATCTAGTTTTAAATGGACCATACACCTAAAATGATGGCAATAAATGGTACAGATGTTCTTAGATGCAATAGTTTCTTCTGAAATAATTCATAAGAATTTTATTCAAGAAACAGATGCAAAGGTTTTCCTTTGGGTACACCAAACCTTTGAAGCAATTACATTTCAATGTCTTCTTTTAAAACAATGTTCAATATTTTATTTACAAAGCTAAGTATACAGGTGAAGCTCGAATAATTAGAATATCGTGGAAAAGTTCATTTATTTCACTAATGCAACTTAAAAGGTGAAACTAATATATGAGATAGACTCATTACATGCAAAGCAAGATAATTCAAGCCGTGATTTGTCATAATTGTGATGATTATGGCTTACAGCTCATGAAAACCCCAAATCCACAATCTCAGAAAATTCGAATATTGTGAAAAGGTGCAATATTCTAGGCTCAAAGTGTCCCACTCTAATCAGCTAATTAAGCCATAACACCGGCAAAGGGTTCCTGGGTCTTTTAAATGGTCTCTCAGTCTGGTTCAGTAGGAATCACAATCATGGGAAAGACTGCTGACCTGACAGTTGTGCAGAAAACCATCATTGACACACTCCATAAGGAGGGAAAGCCTCAAAAGGTAAGTGCAGAGACACCTACGAATGGTTGCAATCAGGGCCATATAGAGACATCATGATGACGCTCTTTCGTACTGCTCCTTCTTTGCCTTTGGTGCCATGTGATTAAACTACTGATGGAATGTTAGTTACCATACAATTGGGTATGCATAAAAGGGGAGTACCACATCCCAATGATTTATATCAAAGAGAAAGTTCATACTTTTAAGGTTATCCAAGGTGTAGAAAGTGTCATTGTTTATATAGAATGATAGAATGTGTTAACAGAAGTAGCATTTTGTCTGCTTTATATGCAGAGCTGGTTTTCATCTGAAGAGGCCACCATACAATCAAAAGGAGAGAAGGTTTTATGAACTAGTGACCCCCGGTATCTCTGTTCCTCCAGAATTTCTTATCACAATTTGTAAAACTTTAGGTTA